ATACTTTGCTTTATAAGCGTAGTCTCTATAAGCATGGGGAAAATTATGCTCTAAGGTAAATGTAGTTCTGTATTTATTACTGAACATAGGGGAATGACTTATTAGAAGCATTAGCATTACGTGGTAGCTGGCCAGTTTCTTTCCACACCGCCTTTTTAATCTCCCTAGTATATTTTAACCAGGTAGGAAAAGGGTGTCTAAAATAATCTCACCTCTGCCGCCACTATGGGCGTCGATCTGTGGGAGGCAGGGGGACACGTCCCCCACTTTTGAAAGCAGGAGGCCATCATGATAATGATAAATTAAGTAAATCACCTTTATGTTTATGAAATAAAAATGTTAACTAATGTTGTTGTGCTTCATCTCAATTTTGACCGTAAATTTGACGGTAGTATTTCCACTCACAATAGTGTAGTCGCAATACACTTGCACAAAAGTGAAATTCAAAAAGAGGAAAAACTTCTTCATTGATCTTAAAATTACTGTACATGCCAAAGGCGGATCCAAACCCCTCCCCATGCCAGTCCCGCCGAAAAATCAAAAAGAGGAGAAAAAATTTGAGACGAGTAAAAAGGCCAAAAGACTGAGACGGTGCTTGTTAGCCATTGTTACAGAATGTACCCAGCTAGTAGAACAGCTAGCCATGCTCGTCGTTAACGCCTATGCACTCTCATGCGGCGGTGAGCAGGGCCACCGACCCTTAGGGCCTCTTCCGTGCCCCTACCCATAGGGTCCTCGCTCTAAAGCACATTGATCCAAAGGGGCTTCGTTGATACATAACAGCATCGACTGTAGGATATATATATCATATTAATCCAGTGGGGTAAGGTGCACAGCCGGACAGTATCCCCTACATTTGTCAAAATTTAAACAAAAAATGGCGATAAAATATTAGAATGTCTGAAAGAGTACAATATCCGAGCATCTAGAGGTGTCATAATCATAATTTGCTTTGCGACTCCAAGTATAGCGTATACTATAGATCCTTGATTAGACCTTTGTGACACGCCCGTGAGGAGAGGAGTGTCTAAGAAAGGGGAGCACAGCTTCCGTCGGGAAAAAGTCCATAATTTTGTATAGGAACACAGCTTAGAAAAAGCATTTTTACCATTGAGAGTTCCATTTCCATGGGTCTAAAGGGGCTTTTTGTGATGGTTTGAATACGTCCCACAACGGTTGGGACTGAGGTAAGAACAAACTATGATTATTAGATGGCCGGAACTATGATTATCTAGATGGCCGGAAATGGCACTTTCAGATTAAAAGTTGAATACAATTTCGCCTGTTTTCTCCATTTTTCTTATAATTTTGAAAAAAATAAATAAAAGGAGGTTGGGGTTGGGGGGGGGGTGCTGACTGGGCCACCATTGAATCCACCATAGTTCAATATAATTGACATAGCCTATTATTTTGTTTCACAATGACTAATTCATGTCATGTAATTTTTTTTTTTATTCAATAAAGTTTACAACCTATAATGCATTAACCACAGTGTACTGTAAATTCTGTAGTTAACCTTCAGGGAACTTTATTTATGTTCGAGGTTAAGTTTCAAGTAAACTTTACAGACGCGCGTATACAGACGTCAATTAACATCTAGTTGCTCAAAAATGGTAACTTGTAATGTTCGATTAAAAATGAAAAAAAAAATCTATATTGTATAATATTAATAGGTCGCTTTATAAGGCGCAAACACAAACAACAATAATGACATTGCAGCGTTCGTAAAATGTTTGTCACTGGTGCTGGGAATAGTCACAAAATTGGGGGAGGCCCCCCAGTAGAAAGTGTGAGGGGTTGCAATGATCCCTGCGTCCCCATCCCTGCGCCCCCTCCCCCCC